GACATCATTAGCCTGAAAATGTTAAATAAGTCTATAAAAGAGACTTTAAAGGTGGCTAAATCAACACTGTGCTACATCTTTAAAAAGAATGAATGCACAGCAACATCGAAAGACCTGAAAAACCACAGAAGACAGCTAAAGTATGTCATAGCAGAGCTTTTTCCTTGCTTAAGAAAAAAAAGTATAATATTGTCAAAGTCTGTGTCAAAGACACTTTCATAAATGTACAGAAAGATTATAACAAAGTGCAAACCACTGGTTACACTCTACAACAGGAAGGCCCTAACCCTACGTGCAGACAAAACAAAGATTATTCAGATGAAGAGAAACATCGTCCGAATCGTATCACATCATCTGTTAAACATGGAGGAGGCAATGTTGTGCTATGTTATGGGCATTTATGGCTGTCAGCAGAAACAGGTCACTCTTGTTTATTGATGTTGTGATCATCTCAGCTTCAGTATCTCAGTTTACAGACTAATGTTTTATTTTTCAATGTAAGAGCTGCGTGAGTCAGAGTAACATAGAAATACTAGCAAGATGTGAAACTCAAGGCCACCCAGTGGTTGAGTCACCCTACTGCCCTGTCCACTCTCGAAATAAAGGCTAAAAAACAATGTATGCCTATGAGGAAGAACGGTCATGTTTGTCCTCCCTTAATACTGCAAAAGCAAACAAATCTATGATTTTGACACTTAAAGCTGTCACTCTCAGCCTGTGTACTTTGTATAAGTCTACACTTGGTAAGACAGATCCTTAGGAAGTGTTTAATTAGGGCCAGAGCCCAAAACACCAAACAGGTGTGGAGTGAAATGTTAAAGTTTTTGAGTTGCGAGCAGGCTCGGATCCAAACCTTAAGTTAGTTTCGCTCTGAGACATCCAGATACACATCGATACACTCCATCAATCTCCGCTCTGTCTACGTTCCCACATGGTACGACGACACAGCTGATGTTTCACACCTGATATGTGGCTGCATGGGAGCCTGCAGGGCCTGCGGCTGTCTATGACTAACTAAACATCAGTTTGGAATGTCGGAACGATGAATGGGAAGAGAAATATCTTTTGGTACTCTTAACGCTCACTTTTGGCAAAGACTCCGTTTTGCAGTTTTAAACAGTCATGTGTGGATTTTGCTGTGTGGGTAGTGCAGGCATTATTGCTGGTATTAATATTAATATTAATATTTGCTAAGCTACAGAGAAAGGTTGCATGCTCTGGCTCCAGCCAGGGCATTTGTGTAAATATTGCTTGATTGATTGAATTACTTCATGTGCTGCAAGAAGTACTTCCCTCAGCAACAATATAACAGAAACCACGAGTGGTCAAGGGAAATTTTCTGTTGCTTCTCTTGTTCCAATTAAAAACAACCCCAGTTCCAAAAAATTGAGACATTGTGTGAGATGTAAATAAAAACAAAATCTCACAAACCCAGATTTTTTCCACAACAGAACAAATCGAAAGTCTCTAAACATTTGATTTGTTCTCTATCTCGTCATCTACAGTACATAATACCATCAAAAGATTTTGAGAGTCTTGAGAAATAAGGGACAAGGTTGAAAATCGATGTTGGATGCTTGTGATCTTTGGCCCCTCAGGCAGCACTGTATTAAAAACTGGCACAATTCTATCACGGAAATCCCTGCTTGGGACAGGAACTCTTCCAAAAACCTCTGTCTATTAACACATTTGTCCATGTTATTCTCAAATGCAAGTAAATTGCAAGTAAATTTGAACATGATCCAGAAATGCTGCCATCTTCTCTGAGCCAACGTCTTTTAAAATGGACTGAGACAAACTGGAAAAGGCACCATTAATGCTAGAAAGTTTTAGACAAACATGCTCCCGTGCACAGACGTCGTCTTTCTGATTTTTGGCAAGATGCTAAACCGCATCTGTTACTCGAGCATGGCTTCATAGTAGAAGAGCCTGGGTGCTGAACTGGAGAAACTTCCTCCTGACTCATTTCTTTGTAATGAAATGTGGTGCTTTTAGAACTCACAGCTTCTTTCACAACAACATAAACACATGACCATTAACTCTGCATGTATGTGTAAAACTTCAGAAGGTCAACACGCAGATTTAAGGAAGTGAAACGTTTACCAACATGAACACACAAAATGTTTTTTGGAAAAAGGATTTAAACCATTTTCATGTTTGTGTATAAGGAACTGTGAGACAGTTGGGGGGAATACAGACGGGACCATGAGTATCTTATTTTAAATTTTGCAACGCACAAAAACTCTCAAGATGTGGTTGCTTGGCAGGTGAAATCCAATGGGAGCATTTATGCAGAGTTTACAGTGTTTTATGCAACATGCTGGCTCTTATTCTGCAAACTCTTTGTTTTCATACATGGTTCAAATGGTGTTTAGGTATTGACTTTATTCTTTTTTTACACAATGTGATCTTCTTATTCTAAACGTTCATTTGTACGTGCAAAGCGCTATACAAATACAGGCCATTTACCATATGAAGCAAGCCCGATACGTCTGAGGAGGAAGCTTTTTAGAGAGATCAGACTAAACAAAAGCTGTAAGCTGCAGGCCACAAAACCAAGATAATAACTTTCCTTAATCTTAAGGTAGGATAATCTTGATTCATCGAATGCAACTAGTGGAGACAAGGAAAAAAAATAAACAGTAAGATTAATGGGGAAACCGGTCTACACTACTTCCTGTGAAACAAGTTAAGCTTTGCGTCTCTCCACAGGCTTTGTAAAAGTTGCATCACTCCTGGCGAAACCCTCTTTTCTGGCGGGAAAGGTTTGGCTGCTCTTGTGCAGCAAATCCTGCTCTCCCAGATCGAGATCTAGTGTTGGATGCATGCACACACAAGCATAAACACTCAGAAGAGAACACAATAAAGCGATTGCCCGTACGCATTCCATGAAAAATCCCCGAACCGCACAGTGAATAGACGGATCCCAACGGCTAAAGTTTGGGGTTATTACTGTAAAGACAAGATTAAGATGAGATATTTACAACTTTCCACTTCATGCAATTGTTTGTGTTGGAATTGTAGACTGATATCTTTTTGTAGACATGCCAAGAGCATGGTTTGGGAGAGCAGTTTCCCAAACCACAAAATGATACTATCACTATGCAGGTAGTGGACGACAATTCTGTTCAAATCTAATGCACCTAAAGCTAAAAAGGCCCTAAAGGCAACACTGAATAATTTAAAAAAGGTATTTAAATTTGCAGATCCATCTGCAAAGAATAGATTTCAATAAATACATTTAAGGACATTATAGGAGACTCTGCTTGAACATTCTTGCCCCTGTTTGGCCAACAATATTCGTAGCTTTAAATATTATATTCTCCCTGTTTCTGAATCTCACTCTTGATCTTCTGCACAAATAAACTTTTTTTGTGCATTTGCACATGTGTTGCTGTTTGTGGAATCACGGCTGGTTGAACTGCTGTTTATCTTGGCCAAGACAGCCTTGAAAATGTTTCTTCAAATGAAGAAGGCCTGAATGTCCATGGGCCTTTTGTTCCATCTGTGCCTCTTGGGTTTTCTCCAGGTTTCTTCCCACAGTGCAAAGTTAGTTTAAACGATCTTTCTCCCCATATGGAAAAGATATATATAAATCTAATAAAGTTTGTATCTGTCTTGTGTGAAACTTGTATGAAAAGCATACAAGAGTGAAAACACATACTTACTAAATCAATATATGAAAGTGGCCACTTTCATGAGTAAATCATATAAGCCTTATATGATTCACGATATGAAGTAGGCCACATCTTATGCAAGTCTTTTATAAGTTTTTACTTTTCCATATGGGTCAGCTGCCCGTCGGTGCAAGTGTAGTCTCCATGAGTCTCCAGTGGTTCATAAAACTACAATAATACTTAATTTCTAATTGAAATCAATATTGTTAAAAGCTGTAAAATAAACCTAAAGCTTTAATGAGGTAAAATGAGCACAGAATTCTCAAAGCTCTGCCAGTGCTGACATGCAGCCAGTGTGAAAACTGAATGTGTTCAAACACAGCTCACTTCAGAGTCAAACGTGGCATCACAAGTGAGACCTTTTTTTGTTTCGAGCATGTTTGAAAGCAAATGACGCACAAAACACTTCTTAGCTTCCTATTTGACTGCTTTTGTGTTATGAACCAAATCTGATAACTTTGTGTCTGAGTGTTCCCTCCATGTATGACAAACCATGTTGTGTAGTTGGTGCTCCATGTGCTCATCCACTCAATGATGCAAATACCTGAGCTATATAAGTTTTGCAAGAATTGTTTGGTTTTGCAGAAATGTGTCGTGTTAACCTGCTTTGATATGTTGTTGTTACTTTGTAGTGTAGTGCACCAAAATAGCCTAAAAACAATTTGCAGTCATGATGCAGCAGCACAGCTGTGGATGCAGATATCAGCTAGTTCCCCCCTTTTTAATATTGCTTAATAGAAGCTTAAATTACACATGCCTGAGCTTTCTCCAGGATTTCCACTTGAGCAGACACTAGTGTGCTTCTCACCCTGTGAAAGGGAAAATAGGCTCAGGTGACCTGACTTTGTTTAGGGGATGAAGATGGATGGATGTTGCAATTTTTCCATCCAGTTTTACATTAGTTGCAGAGAATCTCAGAGTCACTGCTCTTTGTCTTGCACTAGTGGGTCACCTGCACTGACTGATACAAGCTAATCCTCAGACTTTTATTTTCCCAAAAATCAGAAGACTCCAATTTATTTGATTGCAAAATCTTTCCTTTTTTGTAACATTTGCACAAAACATACATGAAAAAAAGACTCCTGCTTGGTGTCAGGAAAGCATGTGGGAAAAAAAAAATACTCGTTAAGTTTCTTTGGCAAGAAAACCAAAAGTCAGGAGGAGTTAAGCTGTAATTGTCCTGCCACGTGCCAACATTTCCTTGTTGTTGTGCCAACTTTCACCCATTTCCAGTCAATGAGCTGAGAGAACACTTTCAGTTTCGCCTGCTCACCTGTATAAATGCACCTGTAGTTCTCCTCCTCACACCATCGCCTCCTCTGCTCTCCTGAAGAGACTCGCTCAAGCAGCCAAGCCGCAGCAAACCTACGAAGAATCAGAGACATGGCTTCCCGAGTTGCAGCTCTGCTCTTGTTGGGCGTCCTCTGCTTTAGCTTTGCATCAGGTAAGACAGAGAGAAAACAGGTGCAGACTGCATGACATCTCTCAGATTTGGACTATCACATGTATAAAACTCTTCTGCCTGTTAAACTGACATTGGTGTGTGTCCTTACAAGTCTTCTCTTGTAATTTCTCCCTGCAGGTGAGATCGCAATGGACTGCTGTCTGCAAGCTATCGACAAACGTCTGCCCTCCAAAAACATCGTGGACTACATCATTCAGGAAGCTGGGAAAGGCTGTCAAATAAGCGCTACTGTGTAAGTGTCAAACACGTGCACAACATTCATGCATATGTATTAAGTAGTGAGTGTATTTGTGCAGGGTTGCTTTCCTAAAGACCCACAGTGCCTGGTTTACCTGTATTTGCCTCATCTCACGTCATGATCTCATCTGCTTTTTCAGGTTCATTACCAACAGTGGCAGAACTCTGTGTGTCATCCACCCCAGCCAGAAACCATGGGTGAGAAATCTCATCAATATCGTGAACAAGAAAAAGCAACAGTAAATGAGGTGAGAACGAAGCGATTTCCTCACTCCATCACATGTGATTTTTAAAAGTTATTCCCTGTGCACCGGCTAATCAATGAATCTTCTGCTTTTTCTTAGATGAACAAACTCTGGGAAGGATGGATGGAGACAACCAGATCTCATAGTCTGTGATGGCAATGTTGCACTGTAGAAGATTAAAACCTGTTAGAGCGATTACGGAGAAATCATCATTTCATCTTATTTATAATGTTGTCCTGTATAAGCTGCCATGCCTCGGCCATTGGCTCAATATATAGCTACATGTGTTTCTTCTGTTTTTTTGTGGTGACTGCGGTGAAACTGTGGTGAAACTCGAACTCTGAGACGAGCAGCTGTGGACGTCTCTTTTTTCTTTCTTCCTTTTTGTTATGAATGATCCATAGAAATAGAAAGATTTGCCTGAACTTGCCCTGGAACTGACAGCAGTGTTACAATCCTGTTTCTGTCAGAGTCTGTGAATGACTCGCATTTCTGTTTTTGCAAGAGCTTGTACAAAATCTGATGACACGGCTTGTATATATCAAACGTATTGTAGAGAGTTATCCCAAAATAAACTCGGATATTATTTTGTAAATTCTAGTTGCTGTCTTTTTATTTATGACTAAATCGTCTGTTTCTCTAACAAATCATTTAAGAAAAGAAAAACAAAAGTTGTCACGTTTTCTAATTACACACACACACACACACACACACACACACACACACACACACACACACACACACACACACACACCAGAGAGCAACGTGGGATTCTGTATCTTGCCAAAGGAAATTTGCCATGCAATTCCAATTCCTTCTAATTAGCACATGACCTGCTCTTCCTCCTGAGCTACAGCAACGCCAAAGTAAAATTCAAAGAACTAAAAAGCCCAAACAATAAAACAGAATAAAACGATAACTGAGAGTGAATGAAAACAAACTGAGCCATATGTGCTCAGATAAAAGACGTGTGATGGTGGAGGGAACATGAGTTCCTTATCAGGGTGTATTTAGCGGTATCTCACTCTGCACCTCTGTGAGCGCGATGTGTTATCCAGCAGCCACACAGATGTTACCTGCTGATATGTGGAACTGGTGTCGTGCCAGAAGAACTATGAACACACACACACTGAAGAACTGTTAAAGTGGACCAGTTCTCCTCATTTCCGAGATCATATTTCTATACTAGAGTGAGTTTACATGATTATGATCAAAGCAAACAAAACAAACTCCTCATATACTGGGTCTTGCAGCAGAAACACGTCCTTTAAGCTGTCTTCTGATTTGCTTGTCCTTGCAAACAGAAGGTCAGAACAGCAAGCTGCTGAGTGTTCTGTGCTTACAGCCACAGCTGTGGCTAACAGCTAGGAGTAGAATAACCATCTACAATTGAGTGTTTTGGACTTTTGGAGTATTTGCACATGACCTAACCTCTTTCCCAAAAAGTAGATTCTGTTAATCTGGACGTCGGGATGAACTGAATCTAATCAGAATACTTACAGCAGGCAGCACGCTGATGGCGCATGCGCACTTACAAAGGAACCTTCTGACCAAACTTTACACAAACAACACATTGGGAAGACATGTCAGAGAGGTGGGCTGATAGGAAAAGACAACGAAAATACATAACATGAGGTGAGGTGAGAGGAAGAGAAAAAAACTCCACTCAGAGTGAGCTCCTAATGGGAGAACAGTTTGATAACAGAAAAACCCCACAAAAAGCACATGACTGTCAATACACCACAGAAACACAAGACAAGCAACAGGGACGGGTAAAAGGGTGAGAGACAGCGCATCCGGTCCTGCAGCATGTCTGCGCCGGTCCAGTCGACCTGCCATCTGACCCGGGAGGAGAAAAGCATCGAAGGCGTTTGGAAAGGGGGGTGTGAGTGTGTATCAGTGTGTTTGTGTGCGTGTCAGCTGAGACAGTGTCCTTCGCCCTGCCAGGCTAAGCAAACAGTCTTCCAGCCGACCCAGGTGGCCTTGCGTAGGATAGGAAGAAACCGTCTATCCACAGTCTGTTATCAGGGTGTTTTTGTTCAGCTCCGGCCTTGAGACCACAGCTGGCGCAAAAGCGGTAGCCGCATGAAATGCTGGTTTTTACTTTAGTGCGAACAACTCGTGTGAATTTCAAAGCTGTTCTAGCGTTTAGATAAACATCTAAATGTCAGCTCGAGCTACACTTGTCATCCTTTTTTTAAATGTGATGTTGATGATGTGTGAGAGGTTAGTGGTGGTTACAGGTGTTTACCCTTCTTGTTGCTGCTTTGCTTGTGCGTACACGTCTTTTACAAAGTGTGCCTCCGACTCTCACGATGCTCGCCGCTTGAAACCAGTCTGCTCTGCATACATACTGTAGTAAGTTGGTTCACATACATAACAGTAAAATGTGGTTAATTGTTGCTTGCATTTGTGATTTCCTCATGCTTCAATGTACAGCTCTGGGCAAAAGTTCCAAGTGTGTCAGACGTCTAGAATTTTACCCCTTTAGCGAAGTATCTCATTCAAGATATTTAAATCGACTTACCACACACCTTAAAATGTTTACCAAGAAGAATCGACGTCGTTGTGTGAGGCAAATAATAACTGGAAAAGGTTATTTTTCTCTTTTTTACATGCATCTCCTTTTCTTTTTGGTTACAGTTACCATTATATTGGTTTTGCTGTTTCTGTGTAGTTTTTCAGGCCTTTGGGGTTTATTATCGTTGTGTTTATTCATGTGGCAATAAATGATCAAATAACAGCTGTTTATTTAAATGAAAATGTTTGACAACGCCACTTCCAGGAAGCTGTGCCTGACAATTTATGAAACCTTCAAATGGAAACTGGAGTTGGCCTAAAGACTCGACTGCTGTAAGTGTAAGTGACGAATGACTGGCGGTAAGCATGCTGAACATTTATGAGAATCCAGGCTGGGATTCAGAGGGTCTGAAAACAGGAAGTGCTTCCAGCTCATTTTGACCATTTGACCTGCTCGTAACAGAATCTCTGTGCTCACTTTAAAACTGTCCAGGGAGCCAAAGATCAGCAGTTCACGGCATTTCTTTTGAGTTTCCCACAAGATACATGATCTGTATAACTACAGACCACCCAAAAAGGAAACACGCTCCTGGGGGGGGGGAAGCACTTACTCTGGTCAGATCTGCTACAGATGTCCTTTCATAGCAAAACTAAACGCTTCAGATTTCTGTTGACTTTCACTCTTGTCTTATCGGTAACTAAAAAACCCAAACAGTCCAATCTGAGACTTTCTCCAAACTTTACCGTAAGTGTGATTTGTAAACTGACTCAGTACTTCAGCATGCTTTAGGATTGGTTATCTTTCAGGTTTGTTTGCATTTCAACTTGGTTTCTTCCATCAGATTTCCATTTTCAGACACAATCTACCTCAGTGTTCATGTTTTGTTATCACTTCCATATCTATGAAAGCCATATCTGGTTTATCAGGAGTTAGAAAATTCCCAGGTTTAACTACAACTTGGACACAGACTGGTAATCACAGACCGCATATAAAAACATGTTGCAACAAAATGAATTTGTATTACTGTGGGGCCTTTACCTTACAATATAAAGTGAGGTGAGTGTTATTGTGATTTGGCACTACATAAACAAAACTGAACTGAATTGAACTGAAAACCATCTCAATATTTTGTGCACCAACATTTTAAGGATGGCCATCACCATCTTGGTATTTGAAACCAGATTTGACCATATTGGGATGAGAGGGTGGAGTTATTAGCTCAGTTATCAGCTAGCATTTGCAAGCCTGGTTAGTTACAGGATCGATCAACAGGACATGTTCCTGTCATGGACTCTGTTACCAAACAGTAACCAGACGTCTGACATGTGAGTGCAACAGTCACCTGTTTGTGAGGGCTGACTGGTCTCTGGAGGATGCTGCTAAAAAGCTTCTTTCAGCTTCTCCTTATTTGCAAGGAGCACCGAAGTGGATGGATGTGCATAACTGATGCGCTTCCTGATGCAGCCCTATGAAGGAGTATTAGGGCCACATTAAGAAAAAAACTGTTGATCATTTGGAGATTGAAGGCAAAATTTAAATCATGGAGATTACAGTTGTTGTTGCCACGGCTGCTAAACCCCTTGTGAAAGCGAGTTATTGAAAGCAACTGATCAACCATCTTGTGATAGAACATACATCCTCTGTATTGCACGAGCGTTCAGCCATCGATGACCTCGCATCCGTCCGTTACGTTTCATTTTGTGCAAATCCCCTCTTGCAGGTTTGTGTTCTTCTGTCTGACCAGATGCAGCTTTCTGCACCATGGTTTCGTGCATCATGACACTGTTTATGTGCTAAAAAAAGTTCTTCCTTGTTACTAAAACTGATTCTCGATTTCATTACAGCAGCCGTAGCAGTTTTTCTTGAAATGCCAGCTGTAACCTTCACATCTCTAAAATAAAAGAAAGTATTTGGGCCCCATTTATTCTGGACGTCTTGAGAACGCTCCATATGAAAGTGCAAAAGAGTGCGATTTCAGTGACATCTGCAGCACTTTATTTTCAGCCCATGGCTTGGATGTTTTTAATTCACACTGCAAAAAATGACATCAGCGTGGTATTAATCACTGTGAAAAAGTGGGCAAAGGTAAAAGGTGAAAGTTTTCTGAAATGAGTATGGATGACCTCTGGCCTTGTTTAACTCTAATCTTCATGCCTACCTGCATCAATAACCGTGCATAAACTATTCTCGTAAGCATGTCTTCAAAGACACATTGCAAAAGCTAAAACATGTCCTTTCTTGTTCATGCAGGACGCAGATTTATAATGAGAGACTTTTTCCAACACAGTCCTTTCACATGGACTACTTAATGGAATCCTGCCAGAGGCTATAATTCAGGCGTATCAACTGTTTAAAAACGTTCCTGTAAGTGCTTCAGCAGGGAAAGTCCAAACACTGCACTCGCCCAATAAGGCAAACTTCCACCCAGCAGGTTACAAGAAACTGAAACTCACTGGAATGACACGTGAGAATCAGTGTTTACTCCTGTTAATGCATTAAGACGGCGGTGCAAGCAACTTCTTATTTCCTTCAACAAGTTGTTCAAAAGTAAGAGGTCATCAGTCTGTCACAATTGTTCTAAGTTCCTCAATACTATAAGGGGGGAAGAGAAAGCTGCTCTTTACAGACACCACATTCAGCTGCAGCGGTATCTGTTTCACTGGAAGTACAGCTCTTCCATGGAGGTATCATTTACGCAGGAACAGATCAACGAGGAAGTTTACAACAAAGTGTTGTAATAATGGGAATCTTTATTCTTATCGCAGGTCCTGATTTGATTGTTTCTGGTCAGACAAGTCTACAGCTGAAAAGTCAAATAGACCCTGAGGGTACTTCACCTCAGGTTTGAAGAAAGCTGTGTTACAGGAGGCTAAAGCGCTCTCTGCTCAGAGCACTGTTTCTTATCTCAAAGTTGCTTGTTTTCTGTATTCCAGCTAAGCTATGCTGAAGGACATGCATGTTTATTTAAAATAACAAAAACCATCCATGCATCAGTTTCACACATATCAGCTCAGTTTGAGGCTTCCAGTTAATCTAAACTCGTGTTTTTGGACTTTGGGAGGAAGCCAGATTAGCTTCA